AGATGGGCAGATGTGGCCATGTGTGAGAGCCCCTCGGCGTCCTCTCTTGTGAGTGACTGAGTGGCCATGCCCTCAGCTGAGGGTCCCCTGCATAGACCCCTCCTTGGAGGCTGCTGCCTGGTCGCCGTTGGGGCCCCGCCCCATAGGGTGTTGAGGTGTGTTCACAACACTGAGCCTCAGAAATGCTTCCAGTGAGGGCTGTGACCCTCTCCTGCCCTGGCTACATCCTCCCGCCTGCAGGTGGGACAGTTCCTGGGCCTTGTCCTCCTGCTGGAAGTCCCTGTCTTTGTTCAGCCTGGGCTGGGGCGTTTGCTGGAAGTGGAGGCCTGTTGCCTTTAGTCGGTGTGACTGGGTTCATTTAATCTGGGAGACCCCTTCCCCAAGAGCCAGTCTTCTGGGGTGTGGCAGGTGGGTGGTCGAGGTAGGGAGCGCCCCGCCACACTCAGCTTCACCCCTCTTGCTCTTCACCTTATAGACACCTCGCTGTGCCTGCCCCACAGGGCCCTGCCCACCTGCAGACTGGGCTCCCACACAAGGACCAAGGGCTTCGGCCTTGGTTTCCCTGTCTGAGTTTCGAGTGTTCAGGGGGGACATGGGCAGCCTGAGTCCTGGCCACTGTGGTGTTGGTGGGGTTGGTGCTGAGCCAGTCTGCCACCCAGCACCCATGAGGGGGCTGGGGGCGCTGGGTTCTAGTCCTGATCACAGGCCTGGTGGCAGTGGCTGGCACAGGTGCACTCTGGAGCCCCTGCAGAGAAGTGTTTGGTCTGTGGCCACAGGAGATGGCACGGATGTGGGTGTGGTGAGTGTATCTGTGAGCTCCTGGGGCTGTGTGGCTGGCAATGGCACTGGGTCTCAAGGCCTGCAGGCCCCTCTGTGGAGGTGTGAGCTGGGTTGGGCCTGTGCTTGGGCTGCAAGGCACCCGCCGTCTTTGGCATCCTCAAGGCCACGTGATCCTATAGGGATGTCCATGGCTTAGTGACCTCCCAGGAGGCCCTTTCCAAATCAGGCCTGGTCCTTGAGTTTTGGGTGTGTGGTGCAGATGGGTCCCACATTCTGTGCCAGGCACCTACAGCTGTGCCCATGGCTTTCACCCTTGGGCTCTGAAGAGTGGCAATGCTCTGGCCCAAGTCTCCCCTGCACACCCACAGGGCTGCCTCCCACATTGGGGGTCCAGCTAGGGGGTTCTCCCCAGCATTTTGGGGCAGGGCATTCTCACCCGCCAGGAGGAGCCACGCTGCCTTGTGCTCAGTAGGACCCTGGCCAGCTGAGTTGCTGCCACCTTTCCATATGGCATCCTGTGGTGGTGGCTGTGCCCTGTGCCCTGTGCCCTCCACCCACGGCTGGGCATGCAGTGCTCAGTAGGGACTCATATTTGGGAGAGATGGGGGTCAGCTCTGCACTGAAAAGGCCCAGGGGCTGTTAGCCAGCACATGCTGAGTCTTACAGTTGCTGGGCTGGGAACCTGGGGCAGAACCCACAGTGCCCCTGGGGTCCCCTGGGTGGGAGGGGGTTGTGCAGAGGGCCGACCCTTCCCAGGATGTGCAGGCTGTAGGGACTGGCATGGGGACCTGTCAGGAACAGCTTGAGCCTGAGCACTTGACTGGGCTCTGGCAACGATGGCTGGAAAGCTGAGGTGCATTAGGCCTAGGGTTGGAGCTGGTCAGCTGCTCTTTGGAGTCCTCGGCCTCATAGATCCTCTGTGCCTCACTTGGCCTCTCCTGTCAACACCCTGTGTGGCTGGGCCAGCGGCTGGGGCTCCGCATTGCGGGTGTGCTTCTCCACGTAGCCAGCACCGCACTGTCCCCGCACTGTCCCCACGCAGCCACAAGGACCCAGGAGCCAGCACTGCCGCCTCCACATCCCATGGCAGCCGGGGCTCAGGGAAAGTGGGTCACTGCCTGCCTGGGTTCCTGGGGGCTGGGTCATGGAGGGCCACTCAGGATGGGGGTGGCTGGTGGGCAGGCATGGGGTACTCTGGTGTGTGGGGAGCTGCAGGAGCCTGAAGCTGGCTCTGTGCTGTGGAGGACAGCAGCTGTCACAGCCCAGGCTGGACATCAGGCCTGCTGGCCACTCATGAGGCCCGAGGGTCCCTGTGTGACCTAGCCCAGTGCCCACCCCAGAGTGCTGGGAGGCCAGCTCCATGCCCCAGGCCTGGGATCCCTGCAAGCTGAGGTTGCACGAGGGCAGTGCAGCCCCTGTGCGGGTGGTGTGCAGTACCAAGGACAGCGCCCGTCCACCTCTCCTTATGCTGACTCTGTCTTCATGTGCTCCTGCAGGCAGGCAGTGTGGGAGGCCCATGGTATGACCATGCACTGGCCTCAGGCAGGAGGGTAGGGCCTGCACTGGCATCGTGTGGGGGCACAGAGCCTGGGTGTGAGGATGGTTAGGGTAGGGATGAAGGCCCAAGGTGACCTCCTCCCTCCCAGACTGCAGCAGATGGGGCGTGATTGCTCATGGGGTGCCATACCGGAGGCCTGCCATCTTTGCAAAGGGAAGGGGCCCTTTCCTGGCAGTGCTTCCTGGAGCCTCCCAGGGCCTGGGACAGGAATCAAGCAGGGACAGCACCCTGTGGGGCTGCCTGCCAGGTGTGGTCCAGTCAGCCAGGGGCAGCTCAGACCGTAGGTGACCCAGATGGCCCCAGGAGGCTGTGGGGGGCCAGGTGTGGAGCCCCTGTCTCTGGTTACTGAGCTCCAGCACTGATGTGGGGTCGCCTCCAGCTACTGCCTCCACACCAGCACTGACGTCTGACCCAGACCCAAGCTGCTCGTCCTGTGGCAGGTGAGGGCAGACAGGCAGCACCACATTCAGGGGGTGGCAGGGACCCTGCGGCCCTGGGAAACAGGACCCAGCTATGCCAAACTACTGTCCATGGACTTGGGTCCTGGGCTCTGAGGTCCTGGAGGGCCTTTCAGAAGGGCAGACCTGTGGAACCAGCACCCTTCCCTGCATGGGGCAGGCTGCATCAGCCCGTCAGAAGCATGAACAGTGGGCGCCTGGGCCTCACCCTGGTGAGGGCCGCAATTATCTGTGACATGGTGTACTTTCCTCTTGATTCCAGACTGTGCTTGTGTAAAGATGATAATTAGAGATAAATTCACAATTGGAAAATGAACCCCAGCGCATCGGAGGGTGGGTAATTAGGGTGAGCCTCCCCCTCCAAGCTGAATCCTGCAGCCCAGATCCCTGGGCAGGCAGAAGGGCCCAGAAATGTGCAGAACATGAGCCTCCAGCCCCAGGGGACCTCACGGCCACAGAACAGCAGGACACAGGCTGGGCTGCTGCCAGGACACAGGGAGCCTTACCAGAGGGGCACCTGTCTTCTAGGCTTCGTGGGGTATGTAGGAGTGCTCAGCACAGTGATGGGAAAGGGCCAGGTGGAAGGAGAAAGAGGCTGGGAGCAGTGGGCCAAGCTTCAGAATGCAGCCAGGACTGTGTTCTGCGCAGCGGGAGGCTTGATTGTCTGGGTGGAGGTTTGGGGCCCCAGTATGGCCTTCTGTACCTGTCCCTACTCCAGTACCTCCTGGGAGAAGGCGTGGGCTTCATGCAGGCTTCACGTTGCCTATGTCGGTGCTCATTCTGGGGCCCCTCGGCAGATGTGGGCCACAGCACCTCTGCGGCGTCTCAGCCCTGGGTTGGACATGTCCATCTGCACTGAGGCTGCCTGAGGTCATGGGCGTGCACGTGTGTGCCCTGCTGTGGGTGTGCATGTGCTGAGGCCACACCCTGTGGTCCTTGAGTTACTGGGTGGCTGCATGGTGCTGGGCCCCTCATTGAAAAGATTTTGGAGCCTACGCATAAGCAGGTGAAGGCCATGTCCACCTGCCTCAGGGTGTGGTGTGTGCCGTCCCGCCCTTGCTCTTGCCCTAGTGCCCTGCAGGATGAAAGCTCTAGTCCTTGGGACCTGACAGTGACACCTGAGGGGACAGTGTTCTCAACCAGCTGATAAGGCCTCCTTTGCCACCCTTCTGGTCCTGTCTCTGGCTGCATCCGGGGGACTGGGTCTGGTGGGTTTGTCAAAGCCATCCTCTTGTAGCTTGTCAAAGGCTGTTTCCTGCTTTCTCAAGCCTTGTTTGGGGGACTTTTTGCTGGACAGAGGTCATCCTTGGCAAGCCCTGACCCAGTGCAGCGGCCATGAAGGGAGAGCTCACGGTGTAAAGGTGGGCCGTGGTGCTGATTGTGGATGCTGGGTTATGGGCTTCCTCCTTCCTCCCTCCTAATGAGTGCTCTTTGCTCTCTGACAGGGTGGGAATCACAGGCCTTGCACAGGTCAAAGGCAGCAGAGGGAGGTGGCTTCCTCAGGCCCGGCTGATCCTGCACAGGGGCCAGTGAGGGTGCTCTGTCAGACCCGGCTACGTGGGTGTTGGCACAAGGCAGGCTGGGGAGGCAACAGGAGCTCTTGGGGACCTTGGGAGCTGTTGTCCAGCAGAAGCAGAGCTGGGCTGTGATCGCCAGCCCCATGTCCAGGACTGTGTTGCCATGCTCCACAGGGTCCAGCCCATGTTCTGTGGCTGAGGCAGGGACCCAGAGCAGCACCTGAAGTGAGCACCAGAGAGACAGGCTGGAGTGCATTTTGATGCATGTCACAAATAAAAGATCAATTTCCCACATTAGATGGAGGGCTCTTGTAAATCTATGAGGAACTCACGTGTGTGTGCACCACTGTGTCCAGATGCTTACTGGAGACTGAGCCTGGAAGGGCGCTGCATTCCGTCAGTGAGTGGGAAGTGACCCCACAGAGAAGCCTGCACACACCAGGCAGGACCATCCTCTCAGATAGTGCCCCAGGGTGGGGCAGGGTGGGGACGCCAAGGATGCAGTGGAGTCCAGGCCTAGCCATGGCTGTGTTGGATGCCGCAGGGAGGGCGGGCAGTTTGACCTGGCCATGGGGGCCGGCAGGCTATGCCGGTGGTAAGCGGGGCTGGCCAGCAACCAGGAGCTTCTAGAGCAGCAGCCGGGGCCCTGCTAGTTCTGGGCTGAGCCCAGCCACTGTCCCGCAGGCCTTGTGAAGCTGGGCATCCACTGTGTCACGTGTCAGAAAGTTGCCATCAAAATCGTCAACCGTGAGAAGCTCAGCGAGTCCGTGCTGATGAAGGTGAGACCCTAGATTGAGTGCTCCTGGAGGAGGGCCAGGGCCTTGGCAGCAGCTATGGAGTGGGGACACTGTGGGCAGGCTCCCGATGTGCACACAGGGCCAGCATGCAGTCACCAGAGGGAAGGGCTCGACCTGGGAGAGGCACAAGCTTGTGTCCATTGAGCTTGGGGGACAGGACGGGGCACCTTTGCCAGCCCTGGTGGGGAGGGCAGAGGTGTGATGGGCAGAGGCCCTGGCTCCTCTTGTGAGCAGGGCTGAGCATCTCCATGGGGTGCCTGCGCCTGGGGCACAGTGCATGCTTCTGCCTGCAGCTCCTCGTGGGCATTGGCCCCAGGGGCCTGCAGGTCTGCAGCCTGGGACTGCTCTAGCCACCCCCCCGGCCTCCACACTGTGTAGCCAGGGTCCCCAGCATCTCCATCTGCCCAGCCCGGGCATGCAGATCGGACCCTGAGTGGAAGGCTGTGGGGCCGTGGGTGGGTGTGGGGGCCACCCTAATGCACCTCTGGTAGGTGGAGCGGGAGATCGCCATCCTGAAGCTCATCGAGCACCCGCATGTCCTGAAGCTGCATGACGTCTATGAAAACAAAAAATATTTGTAGGTATTGCTGGGCTGGAGAGCTGGGGGGCAGGCTGGGCACAGCCGAGGCTGGGCGGTGGGCGGGTGCGTCTGAGGGAGGCCACTGCCCAGCGATCACAGCTCTACCAGCTGAGGTCAGAAGGGGGCAGAGCCTCCTGGGCAGGGGTGGGCAGAACCTTGGGCCCTGTAGCCTCTTTGGCAGCCACGTGGCCCCAGCTTCACAGACCCACTGCCACCCTGGCTCTTCCCAGTCTCAGTCCCTGGGGTCACTAGCTGCTGCCTCAGGCCCGTCTCAGGCCAATTCCTGTCCAGTGCAGCTGAGCACACAGCTTTCCTCTGGCAGTCTCGCCCCAGAGGCCCTGGTGCCTGCTGCTGTGTGGCCCCAGAACTGGCCCTGGGGAGTCATCTGGGGTAGGGTAGTCACTTGTGGGTCACTTGAGGCTGGGGACAGGGCAGGGCGTGTGGGACCTGTGTGCCTCTCAGCTGGAAGAGAGCCTATAGGGAAACGTCCAGAGCAGCTTTCCCAGCCATGTTTTCTGGGTGCCAGGCTGTTGTGGGCAGCGGACGAGGGGTGGGGGTGGTGGGTCAGCCCCTGGCCTTAGTCTCCTCATTGCCCCTGGGGACACCAAAGAAAGTGGACTGAGGAGCACAGGTAGCCCTGGCGATGTGGAGCACGGTGGTGGTGGGCAGTGAGCAGGGCTTCGACAGCGGCCACCAGAGCTGTCCAGGCGGAGTGAAGGTTGGCCCTCTTCCGTCCACAGCTGGCGGGTGGGGCAGGCTGGGCCCAGGAGGTCTCCATCCTGGGGGGTTGGCGCTGCACGGTCACTGCAGCTGAAGTCCCGGCTGCAGCCTGCTCCGGGGCACTGATGCCCCTGCCCCGCAGGTACCTGGTGCTAGAGCACGTTTCTGGGGGGGAGCTGTTTGACTATCTGGTGAAGAAGGGGCGGCTGACGCCCAAGGAGGCCCGCAAGTTCTTCCGGCAGATCATCTCAGCGCTGGACTTCTGTCACAGCCACTCCATCTGGTATGAGCTCGTCCTCAACTGTGTGACACACCAGCCCGGGCTTTTTCCTCATGGCCCAGGCAGGAAGATGGCAGAAACTGCATCCCCCCCCCTGGGGTGGGGGTGGGGAGGCCCAGGCGGGGCGGGGGGCCTGATGGGCTGTCCAGGATGTCGTCAGGCTGGGCTGCCGTGGGTCGACTGCTTTATGGGCGCTTGGCCGTCGGTAGCCTCCTTCAAAAGCTGGGGAGGGGACAGCAGGTCAGCCTCACCGTCCTGTCCCCAGCCACAGGGACCTGAAGCCCGAGAACCTGCTGCTGGACGAGAAGAACAACATCCGCATCGCAGACTTCGGCATGGCGTCCCTGCAGGTCGGCGACAGCCTGCTGGAGACCAGCTGCGGGTGTGTGGCGCCCCCGTCAGCCCACTGCCCTGCACAGCCCCAAGGGCCGGGACACCGCGCGGGCCCCCCTGTCCCCAGCCCCTAGCGGAGGCACCAGCGCCCACCAGGGTCTAGAAGGCCCCCCTCCCCAATCCCCGCCCTGTCTGCAGCCTGAGTGCAGCTGCAGCCCCTGCCCGACTCCGGTGCCTGCTCAGCCAGGGCCTGTGCCCCTCCCAGGACTGGATGGAGGGACAGTCCTGACCTCTGTGCCCTGCAGGAGCACCCAGGATACTGGGGTTGTGGGGGGCTTGGCCAAAGCCCTGCGCCCCATCCCCTCAGGGTGGGCAGAGAGGCCGGCCTGGAGGAAGGTCCTGACTTCCTGTCCCCTGACCCATCCCTTTGCCCCCAGATCCCCCCACTACGCGTGCCCAGAAGTGATCCGGGTAAGTAGCTGCTGGCGCGCTGTGTGGGGTCGCCCGGTCAGGCTGGACCCCGCGCCCAGACCCGGGCCGCGCAGCCTCCCGGCCGCGCCTGCCAACAGCTATTCTGGCGCAACATGCAGGGGGAGAAGTACGACGGGCGCAAGGCGGACGTGTGGAGCTGTGGTGTGATCCTGTTCGCCCTGCTGGTGGTGAGTCCCCCGCTGCCCGCCCGCGGCGGCTGGCGCGGTCACCTGCCTGCTGCTCGCCCCGCCCCGCCCCCTATCTTCTTCATGCTGACCACTGGCCCGCAGGGGGCGCTGCCCTTCGATGACGACAACCTGCGGCAACTGCTGGAGAAGGTCAAGCGGGGAGTGTTCCACATGCCACACTTCATCCCGCCTGACTGCCAGAGCCTGCTTCGGGGCATGATCGAGGTGGACGCGGCCCGGCGCCTCACGGTGTGTCCCTTCCCAACACCAGCTCCTAGGCTGTCCCTTCCGTAGACAGCCCTGCTGCCCACTGGCTCTTCTGTCTCAGAGTTGGCTGGGGGCCCTGCTCACCGTGCATGGGGCCCTGGGTTGTGCTGGGAGTGTGTGGTGTGCAAGGTGTGTGTGTGTGTCTGCTGTGTGTCCAATGTGCAGGCACCACCAGGAGTTAGGTGTGCCACTGTGTGTGCACAGGTGTGAACATTGCCAGGGTGCATGTGTACAGGTAGAGTATGCCCATGCTGTGTGCAGTGCATGCTGGGTGGGTGGCAGGCCCATGCCTGAGTGGTTTGGGGGCTCCCCTGGCACACCCTTGGGGCACTGTGTGCAGGGTGCAGGCTGGCGTCCAGGGAGGCCCAAAGTCCTCTAGGTGTGCTGCCAGGCGGGTGCAGAGGGCCCCGTGAGACTGCCCAAGCTCTTGCCTACACTGCACTGTCCCCCTCCTGTCCCTCCACCTGGCCTCGGCTCCTCTAGTACCTCCTCAAGAGCTCAGTGCAGGCTGCTCGGGCTCTAGGGTCTGTGCTTCTGTGTCTCCCTCGTACTGCACTGCTGGACCCTGAGTGTCGCCCATTCCTCTCCCTCTTGATCCCGGTAATCCCAGTGCCAGGGGAGGCGGCTGGGTGCTAGCTGAGGCTCTGTGTGTGCAGCCCCCACCTCCCCTCCCTCATGCTACAGCACGGCCTTCTAACATGGGACCTTGGTACTAACACCTGTTTCTCTTTCCTTGTAGCTAGAGCACATTCAGAAACACATATGGTATATGTAAGTAGCTTCTCTGCACTAACGCCTGCTTTGCCTGCAGCTGTGGCCTTGAGGGCTGGCTAGGAAGGGGGGTGGCCGGCGCTGGAGAGGCAGGATGAGCCTGCGGGGCTGGGCCAGGGTAGCACAGACAGGACCCGGGCTCCCACTGGCCTGCAGCCTCAGGGTGGGTGGCATGGCTGGGCTGAGGAGAGTGACCCCCGCGCCCTGTCCTCCACAGAGGGGGCAAGAATGAGCCAGAGCCGGAGCAGCCCATCCCGCGCAAGGTGCAGATCCGCTCACTGCCCAGCCTCGAGGACATTGACCCTGACGTGCTGGACAGCATGCACTCCCTGGGCTGCTTCCGAGACCGTAACAAGTTGCTGCAGGACCTGCTGTCTGAGGAGTAAGCAGGGTGGGTGGGTGGGGCTCACGTCGGGCTGGGGCTGTTCTGGGATGGAGCCTTTTGGGGGCCAGACCCCGTGTCTGGTGGTACACACTGCAGCCCAACTCTCCTGCTGCTTTCTCGCCGCTGCAGGGAGAACCAGGAGAAGATGATCTACTTCCTTCTCCTAGACCGGAAAGAAAGGTACCCCAGCCACGAGGACGAGGATCTACCACCCCGGAATGAAATAGGTATGTGGCCTCTACCTGGCCCTGCACCCCAGACCCCACAGGCTGCCACTGACGCCTCCCTGTGCACAGACCCCCCTCGGAAGCGTGTGGACTCCCCAATGCTGAACCGGCACGGCAAGCGGCGGCCCGAACGCAAGTCCATGGAGGTGCTCAGCGTGACAGATGGTGGCTCTCCAGTGCCAGCACGGCGAGCCATTGAAATGGCTCAGCATGGCCAGAGGTGTGTGCCTTCTCCTGGATCCTGTGCTATCCTCCTGCTGCCAAGGGAAGGCAGTGTGGCCTCCTACTGTGCTCCTGCATCTGGCCTGGCCTGGGCTTCAGGCCTGCACTGCTGGCTAGGCTGGGCTGTGCTGTGCTGAGGGCTGCGGGGCTGCACGGGCTGGCAGGACTGCTCTGGGTTTGGCCGAGATGGCTGAACTGGGCTGGGCTGAGCTGGGTTAGACTGGATTGAACTGGGCTGAGTGGACTGACTGGATTTAATTGGAATGAGCTGGGCTGAAGAGGATTGAGCTGGATTGAGCTAGACTGAAGGGGCCTGAGCTGGGATCTTGATTGAACTGGACTGAACTTGGCTGAACTGGGTTGAAGTGGACTGAGCTAGATTAAACTGGACTGAGCTGAACTGAACAAGATTGAACTGCAACAAGCTGGGCTGAGTAGGATTGAACTGGAATGAGCTGGGCTGAGCAGGTTTGAACTGGACATAGTCTAGCTGAGCTGAGTTAAGTAAGTGAGGTGGATTAAACTGAATTGATACAGGTTGAACTTGAATGAGCTGGGTTGAACTAGATTAAACTGGACCTAGCTGGATTGAATTTGATTGAAATGGGAGTGAACAAGTCAACTGATGTAGATTAAACTGGAGTGAACTTGAGTGGAGAGGATTTGAGCTGGGCTGGGCTGAGCTGAGCTGAGCTGAGCTGAGCTGGGCCAGGCTGGACTGGGCTACAGAGTGTCCGGGCCATGTTCTGCTGGCTCCTCTCCCTGATGCCTGCCTGCTGTGGGAGGTCCGAGGAGCTATGGCAGGGATTAGATGAGGGAAGTAATGGCAGATACGAGTTGTCCTTGCCTTATGTCCCTGCCCCAGAGCCTGGGTGGGCATAGGCTGTCAGGGCCACAGAGGCCCTTGCAGTCCTTGGTGCTGGACACAGCTCTAGGGCCCCAACTTTGCTTCCCAGGTGGGGTCCTGGGCATGTAAGGCCTGGGAAGTCTCAGAAGCCCAGGCCTTCCTCAGTCACTTTCCTCAGTGGTGTGGGCCCAGCACCCCACTGCCCTTCTGCCTGCTAAGTGCCCGAGTGCTGGGGCAGGACCTGTGAGGTAGCTGCCCTGCCCCTGCTTGCCTGGGCCCTCTGGGGTGGGGCCAGCTTGGCCTCCAGCACTGGGGCTCTGTCCCATTGTCCCTTGGCTCCTGGTACCAGACTGGGCAGCAAGGCCCCTCCTGACCACACTGTCCTGAAGCCCAGTATCCTGCATTTTTGGGGGGTTGTCCCTCGCTGTAGCCTAAGTGTTGCCTTCTCCGTGCCTCCCCACTCTTTCTGTGCTGAGGACTGAGCAGGCTCCCTGGCTTCCCCCCAGCTTCCGGCTGTGTGTGGGTGGATGCCGTCCTGAGGTCTGCCTTGTCCCACTGTGTCCCAGTTGCTTCTGCTTTTGGCCCGGCTGCCGCGGGACAGGGGTGTCCCAGGTGGCGGTGGTGAGTGCTAGGTATCCTGCAACACCTGGCCGCGCCACCCTGCAGCTGTCTTGGGCAGGCAGGGCTTGCCTGCCTGCTGTCGCGTCTCTTGCGTGTCTCTGTGCGCCGGCCTGATCAGGTGGCTGTGCCCTACCCAGAGCCTTGTGAGGTCCCGCCCGGGTCCCGGGCAGCAGCTGGCCTGGAGCTGACCTGCGTGCGTGTGGCAGTAACTCTGTTTTCTCGCTTTGTTCCTGCTGTAGTAAAGCAATGTTCAGTAAAAGCCTGGATATCGCTGAAGCCCATCCCCAATTCAGCACAGAAGACAGGTATACACCCTGCCCATGCCCTAGCCCTTCAGCCCTGGATGCACTGCCATGCTGGACCAGGCAGCAGAGCGGGCCTGGTGGCGGGCTGAGCGGGATGCTACCTTCCCTATTCTCTGGAATGGCACTGTCCAGGGCCAGCGGGAGCCAGGGAGGAGGGTCGGGGTGACAGGGTGCGGCAGGGAGCCAGCCCTGGGGAAGAACCAACCCCGTGACCTCAGACAGGCACTCCTGCCAACGGACTTTGCCCAGTGGGGCTCAGCAGCCTGGTGCCAGGGCATGTGTGCCATTCACAGTGCCACAGTAGAAGTCAAGCAGCCAGCCTGGCAGGACTTCTGCCCACTAGTGCGGGCCACTGGCCTGGCCCCAACGCTCCTGAGCTCGCAGGCCTGCACTTCCATGCTCCACTTCTGTGTCCCCACCTGGCTGCTGTGGGTGCTGCCTCCCATCTCGGCCTTTGTAGCTTAGGCCTCTCTCCTTGCCCTCTGCTTCTCTGTGCTGGCCCTCGCCACGGGGAGCTCCTGGCTGGCCGGGTGGCTGCGGGCCTCGCTTGCTCTTGGCTCTGCCTTGTATGGCTGTGCCACCATCCTGACCTCTCAGGACTGGTGCTGTGCTGGGAACCAGGCTCTGCCAACCCTGGCCCCTCGGTGGCCATGTGGGGAACCTAGCAGGGAGCTGTGGCTCCCACTCACAGGTGCTGGGCACTGGGCTGTGGCCAGTGTGGTCAGGGTGCTGGGCTGCGGCTGCTCCCCAGCAGGCCGGTGTGGGGGCCAGTGTGGGGGCTTCATTCTCCCCAGCCTCTTAGCAGCTAACTTGCCCTTCTGTCGCACCCCTTCTCTGAGGAGGAGGAGGGGCCCTGGCCTTCTTGGATGGGGGAGCAAGACCTAGTTCCCTGGAGGGGACACTAGGAGTAGACAGTGGGGGACCAAGGCTGGTGCCCAGTCATCTCCTGGGCAGCAGTGAATGGATGCTGAGGGCCAGGCCGGCGGGTGCCTGGCCGGCGGCCCCTGCACTAACTCGGTGATACCGCCTTGAGGAGGCACGGCCTGAGCAGGGCCTTGTTCCTTGTCCCTCACACACTTGAGCACACTGGCCCTTGCTGTGCCAGACCTGGGCCTCCAGTGGCATCTGCCGTGTGCAGGCGGCCCAGGACCCAGCTGCATGCTGGGCACGGTGTGAGGTCAGCAGGATGAGCTTGGACACTGGTGTGCCCATCCGGGGGCCCTTGGGCTTGGCAGGCTGTGCCAGCCCCAGAACTTTGGGGCATCTAGAAGGTCCCAGAGGCGAGGCCCTGGGGTCCTGGGTGATTACCTCTCTGCTCTGCCACTCCCAGGTCTCGGTCCATCAGTGGCGCCTCCTCAGGCCTCTCCACAAGCCCGCTCAGCAGCCCACGGGTGAGTGACTCCCCTTGTTGGCGCCAGGCGGCAGCCTTGTCCAGACAGCGCAGGGGTGGGAGGGAGTCGGCCAGCCCCGTGCTGGACGGGGCTGTTCGCGTGACTGCTCCGGCTAACTGCATGTTCTTCTGTTCTGTGTCGTCTGTCTTCTCGTTTGTCATGTTTTCTTTTGTGGCCCTGGCTGCCCACACTGGTCCTGCTTGGGTCCCCGAATGCTGTGTGTGCATGGGGTGGGGCACGCATGGCGCCTCGTGGTCCCCCTCCTGTGCACCGCTGTGCCTGTAGCCTGTTAGAAAGTTTGTCCTGCCTCCCCCACCTCCCGAACTGCCCCTCGTGGCCTACTCCCCAGCCACCTCTGTGGAGCCCGAAGCTTGTCGGAGCACCCCACGGCCTGGAAACGTACTCACTCTGCAGGCTGCCCCGCGGCTCAGCCCCAGGACCCAGACCTTGCCGCGCAAGGCCAAGCTGAGCGACAAGCCGCTGCAGGGCACCAAGTCCAACCCGCTCCCAGCCTGCACCCAGGCTCAGCCGCTGGGCCCTGGCCTCAGCCCCCCACTGGCTTTGTCCCCGGGTCCCCCAGCCCTGCAGGCCACTGAGAATGAACCGAACACCAAATCTGTCCCCACCATACAGGTGACCCCTCACCCCTCACCGAGGGGCAGTCCCCTCCCCACCCCCAAGGGGACGCCTGTCCACACGCCAAAGGAGAGTCCAGCTGGAACGCCCAACCCCACACCGCCGTCCAGCCCCAGTGTCGGAGGTGTGCCCTGGCGGACACGGCTGAACTCCATCAAGAACAGCTTCCTGGGCTCACCTCGCTTCCACCGCCGGAAACTGCAAGGTTAGCATGGTGCGGGGCTGAGGGCTGTGCCTGGCTGGTTGGTGCCCATGGCTGTGGGGGCTGCCTACTGCTCTGGGATGTGGTGCCCTGGGTTGGCCCTGGCCCTTCCTGTCCTCCTCTGGGTAATGGCCAGATCCAGGGGTGTGGGCTTGGCCAGTCCTCCTGGGGGTCCTGTGTCCTGGGCTATGCTAGACAGCTGTGGGCTGCTCCCTGCCTGTTGGGGTGTGTGCTGGGGGAGGGATGACTAACAGAACGTCCTCATGGGGCCTGGATGGCCCCCCAGCTCCAGGGTGGGGGGTGGAGGGCGAGGATGCCCAGCCCGGGCCAGAATGGTCACTGCCTTCTCCCTGTCTTTCTGGCGCACAGTGCCGACACCCGAGGAGATGTCCAACCTGACCCCCGAGTCCTCCCCAGAGTAAGTGACTCCCACGCGAGACTGCCTTGTACCTGAACACTGGGCCAGTGGAGGGCTGTGGGGTCTTTTCCCAGAGAAGGGGCAGCTACCTCAGGGTGCTTCTCTGGAGCCCGTCTATCCCTGTGGTCCCCCCACTGTTAAGTGCTCCGCCCTGGGAGCCCCGTGAGCCCAAGAGCCCAGCCTTAGGCAGGGCTTGTGAGGGCTGAGCTCAGCTGTTCAAAGCCCATGGCATGGGCAGACAGGTTGTGGCAGCAGAGCAGTGTGGGGGCTTGGGCAGGCAAGTCTTCGGGGTCCGATGTGCTGAGGAAGATGGACGTGGTGCTGGGGCCTGTGGGCTCCGGTGCAGGTGGGGGGGTCAAGGGTAGGGGCCTGGGGTGGACAGAGAGGGCAGGCGCCATGCTGTGGAAGTTTCTCCTTGGAGGATGGAGCTGAGATGGGAGGCCTGCAGCCCCAGCCAGCACGGCACTCAGGGACAGGCATCGGAGTGAAGATGTCCATGAAACCAACTCGACAGTGGTCTCCACCATGCTCTGTGTGGCATGCATGTGACAAGGCCAAGTGAACTCTCGGTCACACACCTGCAGGGACAGTGGCCAGTTGGAGCTGTGTGTCCTGCACAGGGACAGCACTGGGCTTGGAGTCAGGGAGGCCCTTGGATGTGCCACTGGCTCAATGCAGACTTTGGGTGGCTGCTGTGTGCACTGACCCTGCTGAGGAGACAGTCTGCAGGTGCCGCTTCTGGTCTACTGGAAACCCACTGGAGTCACTGTTTTCTGGAAATGCCCGCCAGCTGCCCTTCTCATCCTCTCCTGTGAGATTCCAGGGCCCTGTCTCCCTCCAAGGAACTGCACTGTCCCATTCCTTTGGCCTCTGCACAGACTTGGCCCAGCTGCCACCAGCCCTGTGTCCTCTGAGTGTACAGAGACATGGGCCCAAGACTAGAGGGACAGTGCCTCAGGAAACCAGGCCCTTCTCGCAGGTGGACGAGCGGGTCCAGCAGGGCTTGCTGCTGTGCTGGGGTTGCCCAGCACCGTTGTGGCCACCCAGGCTGTCCCCAGCCACATGGACTCATGATCCAGCACCGGCCGCACTGCCCCCACCATGAGCCTCCAGTCACAGCCTCTTGGAAGTCACCATGCTGGCCTGTGAAGCAGGAAGTTGGTGTTACATTTCCCGTCGTCTTCAGGATGGGCGCATCGGAAGCTTTGTGTGTTGTTCCCAGGCTGCTGAGCACCCTGAGGTGCCTGGGCTAGGCCCTGGCATGAGCCCTGAGCACAAGGCGGGGGTCAGGAGTCTGTGCCCTGGTGCAGCTGCTCAGGGCGGAGGGTGGCTGCACTTGGAGAGGCAGGTGGGGCCAGAGAACAGCTCCAGAAAGGGCTTTGGAGGCCGCTGCTTGTGCTGCCTGCCACCTGCCTGGGTGGGACACCTGCAGAGGCCCGATAGTCCACTTGGTAGTGCATGGGTACCCAGGCTCCTCTGGGCAGAGTGGGTGCCAGGGCACACAGGTTGGCATCTTTGGTAGCATGCGCTGGTTGCATTGGGGACTGAGGCTGAGCACAGTGTCAGCCAGGTTGTGGTGTCCCGGGCTGTACTGGAGAACTATCTTGGTGTCCAAGGGCATGGGCTTGGACCTTGTAGGCAGGCAGAGGGAGGCCGGCTCATGAGACACCCTTGAGGCTGCCTTAGAAGCAGATCAGGCCTGCCATACCAGGGTTGTGGTCTTGTTGGGAGGCCAAGTCTGGAGGCTTATGTCGTGGTCTGTGTGTCCTGTTTGTGGGAAAGGGCGGGCAGTAGGTGACGGCTCATGGAGTGAACAGTGGGTGCGAGTGTTGCTGGGCAGCAGGAAGGGGGCAGGCGTGGCATACTGTAGTCAGCCCCTGGGATGGGGCTGTGAAGAGAGCTCTGGGAAGGACCCTCCCTGCTCCTCAGGGCAGGGCTGAAGCCCCCTATCCCCAGGAATCCTGGAGGGCGGGGGCCTGATGGTCTGTGTGGCATTTGGCCCAAGCATGCCACATACAAGGCTGGGGACACTTGCCAACAAGTGGGGCACAGGAGGCCATCCCAGAATTCAGGGACCTACACAGAAGGCTGGGCCCAGGCCAGCTGCTCTGAGGGAGCTGAGGGCAGGGCACTTGGAGCTGTGGGACCAGGGCTGGGCTGTCAGTCAGGGAGGGTAAGTGTGTAGGATTTGGGACGTGGAGGAAGGTGTAGGGTCAGGGTTAGGCTGAGTCTCCAGTTAGGAGATGGGTGTATGGTAAGGTTCATGGTGGTAGGGTGCCAGGTGGGTGGGCCAGGGAGTGAGGTTAGGGTCAGGGTCAGGGCCCCAGCAGTCACCGCAGCGTATGCCCCAACCCAGGCTGGCCAAGAAGTCCTGGTTCGGGAACTTCATCAACCTGGAGAAGGAGGAACAGATCTTTGTGGTTATCAAAGACAAGCCCCTGAGCTCTATCAAGGCCGACATTGTGCACGCCTTCCTTTCGGTGAGCCCTGCACACTGCCTGATGCCTGCGGTCCATATGCCTCCCTCTTGTCATTGCCTACTGGGCTGCTGGTGGCCTGGTGGCTTCTGATGAGCATGCCAGGGTTGGCAGTGGGGTGGGGGGCTCGGATCTGTTTCCGTGCCTGTCTCTGTCCTGAAGTGCCCAGGGACTTTGTGAGGGGATACAGGCTCAGGTCTGGGCGCCCAGAGACCTCAGCAAACCAACCTGGTCAGCACAGCCTCATCATGGGCTGGGACTGCTGGGGGCCTTCTCAGACCCCGCCTGGCTTGGCCCCCAGGAGGTGCTATCAGATACCACTCTGGGTCCCTCAGAGCTGAAGCCTGAGCCTCTCCGCTGCCTGGACAAAGCCCCTGTGTCAGGGGACCCATCTATGTTGTGCCATTTTAACTCACACTCAAGGTGGGTGCTGGGGCTCCTGTGTGGGTCAGGTCTCAGATCTAAGACCCCCACCAGGTCCTCCTGGGCACACCACACAGGGGTCCTCTCCCCACATGGGCTGGGCCACTGCTCTCCCTCTTCCCTCGAACTCATGCACCGGCCCCCTACAGATCCCCAGCCTCAGCCACAGCGTCATCTCGCAGACCAGCTTCAGGGCCGAGTACAAGGCCACAGGTGGCCCGGCCGTGTTCCAGAAGCCCGTCAAGTTCCAGGTGGACATCACATACACGGAGGGTGGCGAGGCACAGAAGGAAAATGGCATCTACTCTGTCACCTTCACCCTGCTTTCAGGTGAGAGCCTGGCCAGCAGGGAGGGGGGGGGGGCTTGGCAGCCCATGGGCCGGGTCTTGACCCCTGTGTCTCCCAGGCCCCAGTCGCCGCTTCAAGAGGGTGGTGGAGACCATCCAGGCCCAGCTGTTGAGCTCCCATGACCAGCCATCAGCTCAGCACTTGTCAGGTAAGGCAAGGCGCGCATCTCCTGCACTAGTGAGCGCGAGGCCGGCAGGTGCGAGGACAGGCACGGTGCCCCTCCCGCCCAACTGGGGCTGACCCTAGGGAGCAGGGCCTGGCGCGGCGGCTGCAGCGCACTGAAAGGTGCCTCTTGTCCACCATAGAACCGCCCCCGCCAGCGCCAGGACTGAGCTGGGGTGCTGGGCTTAAGGGCCAGAAGGTGGCCACCAGCTACGAGAGTAGCCTGTGACACTGGCAGGTAAGGTGTCCGGCCCGCTGTCCGGCCGGGGCGGGCGGGGCTGTGGCAGGGCCTCAGGCCACCGCCAGGCTGGCCCACAAGGGCCCCGCACCAGGTGGCTGGACAGGGGACAGCCTCAGCAGGCTGTGGGGGTAGTGACTGAGGCTGTCCCATGGGGCTTCCTGCCGCGGCTCCCCAAGAGAGAGGCGGGGCCTGTAAGCCCTGAGCCCTGCCCTGAGCAGGAGGGCCAAGGCCCTAGCCGCAGCAGGGCCCCACGGGGTCTCAGCTGCTTGGCAGCTTGGAGGCCAGGATACACACAGCAGAGTGTGGGCCTGTGGGCAGTGGGGTGGTCATGGGCTGCGTCTGTTAGCCGGGTGCCCTAGGGCAGGTGCGGCTGGGGCTGCTGGTGTCACCAGGTAGGCCCTGGTCTGGGGCTGGGGCGGCTTCATCCAGCCGATTCAAGCACTGTGGCACTGGGCCCACTGGGCCCCTCCTAGCCTGGTCCTTACAGCCAGGGCCCAGCAGGGCCACTGTCTTGTGTGGGGCCCTTGGGGTCCTTCCACATGCCCCTCCTCATTTCATCCTCATTCCATCACCTGTGGCTGTGTCCCCCACATGTTTCTTGTTGCTGTGGTGGTGGGGCTGAGCCATGGCTGCGGGCTGGCAGGCAGAGGGTGGCCAGGCCTGAGGGCCTGCCCTGTACAGGAGATTGTGTGGTCAGTGGGGGCAGCTGCTGCCTCCTGAGGCTTTGGCTCCTGCTTAGAGCAGGGGTCGGAGAGGCTGAGGACAAAGGGCTGTGCTCACGGGGGCCTCAAGGACAGAGTGCAGTGAGTGCCCAGGGCCGTCTGCTGAGGCATTCTGGAGATGCAGACTTCGCCCCTTACCCGTGGTTCTCCCGGCCCTGTGCTTTCGGGCACGCTGCACTGCCAGCTGCAGTTGCAGCCTAGAGCCTGCCGAAGGTAGCAGCTACCACCTCTGACCTCCCTAACCTGGGGGTGGGAGCGGCCCGGAGGCCCAGGAGCAGGCTGGTAGCTGCGTCTCATCCCGTGCAGGCCCCAGCGTGGGCCCTGGCAGTGCTGACATTCCCAGGTGCTGCAGAGGAAGGGCCACAACAGCCAGCGCCATGGGAGTAGCAGGGTGAGGCTGTGCTGGTAGACAGAGAAGTGGCCAGGAGGCTGAGTCAGTCGGAGGCTGTGGCCCTGGGGAGCCCTTCAGCAGCAGCCCTCCGAGCTCAGGGCTCTCTCCAGGCCCCGCCCCGGGCCCCGCCCCGGGCCCCGCCCCGCCCCGCCCTCCCGGCCCTGCTTTCACTTTCTCCCCCTCCTCTCTCCATTCTGTGCTCCAGACACCACTAACTGTATGGAAATGATGACGGGGCGGCTTTCCAAATGTGGTAAGAACCCCTCACGCTCGCTGGCATTTCAGCCTGCCACGCCTCTGCACCCCTGCAGCCTGCCCTGCCCCTGTGGCTTTCCTGGGCGCCCAGTGTAGCGTGTAGCGTGTAGCGTGTAGCGTGTAGCGTGTAGCGCAGGCCCCCGCTGCCTGCCCCGTCCCGGCCAAGCCCAGGGTAGGCCCTCGGGGCCACAAGGCTGGAGCAGTGGCCGGAGGGGCCGGCATGCGTGGAGGAGGCTCCCCGTCTGCACCTGGCAGTGAGCACAGGCCCAAGAGGGGCTGCTCCTGGCTTCTGCCTGCCCTCCTTCCTCTGGGACCAGAGCCCTGGCCTGCCTGCCTGTGCCCAGCCCCCCACCTCCTGCCACGCCCTCTATGCCTGTCCACCATCTGTCCATCTGTCTTTGTGCTGCGCAGTTCACGCCCGCCAGGGGCCAGGCTTGGGGTTCCCCCGGGAGGTGTGGCGGCCGCAGGCGAGCAGCCGGCTGCAGTCCTCAGTCTGGGTCGGGCTCAGCCCTGGTGTCCTGAGCCGGGAGGGAGGGGCCGAGAGGGACAGCCTGGGTGCGGGGACTCTGCGGCCGCCTGCCAGCCCTGCTTGCTGCCCGCGGCCCCTGCGCCGTGCCCGTCTCGGGCTCATCTGTCGGGTTTTCCTTTCTCTCGCCAAGGCCCCTTTGTTCATTTGTTTGTTCTTTCTCTCTCCTTCCCTCCCTCCCTCCCTCTTTCTCTCTCCCATTCTTTTCTTTTTTTGTCTCCTGTTCTGTGTACCCAGGCAGCCCATTGAGTAACTTCTTTGACGTAATTAAACAACTTTTTTCAGACGAGAAGAATGGGCAGGCGGCCCAGGCCCCCAGCACACCCGCCAAGCGGAGTGCCCACGGCCCCCTCGGTGACTCCGCGGCCACTGGCCCTCCAGGGGATGCCGAGTTCCCGACGGGCAAGGACACGGCCCCGGCCGCAGCGAGCAGCCTTAGACACTAGTCCCTCCTGGCCGCCACGGCCCTGTGTGGACCGGGCACGCTGCCCCCGCCGCCGTCCCGGAGCCAGGGAGGAAAGGAGAGCAGCCGGCCGGCCTGCGGGCGGGGCTGCTGCACTCGCTCCTCTCTCGCGGTCTCTGTCTCTACCTGTTTCTGACGGCGTCGCTTGTTTCCGCTCTGATACCAGGAATTATCCCGAAAAGTTAACATGTCACCTCCACGAGGTCAACCTCTGTACTCTGCGCGGACACTGGCTGACCGAAGGCAGCTGCTGCGGACCTGCCCTCCCTGCTGTCGCCGCCTGCGCCCGCCCGCCCACAGCAGCCAACATGGGCGCGTGGGAGGGCCTGGCCCCCGGGACACCTCCTCCAGCCTGCCGCCCGGACTGCAGTGACCAGCCCTCCACAGGGACCTGCCAACCACCTCCTGGGTGGGGCCGTGGCGGGCGAAGCCACAGTGGAGGGCATCCCTGCCTCCGTGCTGCACCGGGAGGCCGCCTGGCCGCCTCACCGCCTCTGCACCTCAAGGGCCACTCCTGTGTCCTCTGCATCCATCTGCACAGCTGCACTGGGCTGCGGGTGCGCCTGGCTTTGCTGGCCCTCTGGACGGAGGGACGGACCTGGGCAGCAGATCCGCTAGGCTGGCCAAGCTGGGGCTGGGCCGACATCAGTATTATTTATTTGCTGTTTTAATTTATTGAGTTCCTTTCTGTCTCTGTTCTTTGTTCAGGGAAGGGACGGCAGGACCACCCTCCTGCCATCCATCTGTCTGTTCATCTGTCTGTCCGTTTGGGCAGGGTGGGTCCAGAGCTGAAGGGCCCTCCAAGGACAGAGTTGTCTGGGGGCTGGGGCAGCAAGGGGCCAGCCGGTGGATGCAGCACCGGCAAGCTACTGTAAACTTCAAAGAATTCCTGCAAGATATTTTTATAAACTTTTTTTCTTGGTTGTTTTTGGAAAAGGGGGTGTGGGGGACCCACTGGGCAGGGCTGTTTGTGTTTCAGTTCCTTGCTCTTGGTTATTTCTGCACACACACACACACACACACACACACACACACACACACACCCAGTACAGTGAGCTCTAGCCCAGGCCTGTACTGCAGAAGCAGCTTTGCGCTCGTCCTGAAGTGGGGCAGCCCAGAGCACCCTGATAGCACCACCCAGGTGCTCCTGGTTTTGTGTGGAGTAGGGGCTGGGATGATAACCTGGGCAGCTTTCCTCTCACACAGGATGGCAGTGCACCGTGGGGCTTTTAAAATTAAAATGAAAAATAAAACAAAAATCAGGATAGAAAGAGTCGGCATGTGCCTCAGTGGCATGTTCCTGCTGTCCAGAGTGCAGCCAACCTGCCTGCCCACCCAGCTGCCCCACCGCCAGCTGCTGTGTTCTCCCCGTCCTGCTGGCGTAGGGCATGGACAGCACGGAAGGTCCCATGCATGCCTCTGCTGTGAGCGTCCACTCTGCTTTGGGTGTCCCCGCCACTCATGTATAGATCTTAATGCTTCTGTTACATTACACTCTGCCACAGGCTTGGACTCTATACATAAGAGAAAGCCAACACCTGTAACAGCAAAGCCCTGCAGCACAGGTGGGAAGGGAGCTGAAGCAATACCTCACGTTAGCTTTCCTCTTTTGTACTTCGACATGCGGACTCACGCCGAGCCATGGAGTGGACAAGACCACCCAGTGTACCTGTCAGACAGCTGTGAGCAACTGAGTCCAGGAACAATAAATTCCTTCCATAAAGACAGCTGACGCAAGGTTTCCATGCGGGCAGGGTGGGCACGGGAAGGGCCCAGGATGCCGTGAGGCAGCCTGTCCCAACAGCACCCAGCCAGGGCCCACCCAGCTGCAGAGAGCAGAGCCAGCATGGGGGCTGGGTGGCCAGAGCAAGGGTCCCAGATGGCCTGGGGAACAGCAGTTGGGGCTGGTAGCAGGGAGCGGCAAGGAAACTGTCCAGCCTCCACATGCATGGCCTCCCGTGGCACCTGGCCTGTTTCCTGGGGCAGAAACCTTCCCTCTCTTCGCTGGGGAGAATTCTGGTAAGGCTCTGGGACCAGCCCTGAAAGTGGGGGCCCAGGAGTGGCAGCAGCCTCCAGACTTAGGTCGGAGGGGTTGACAGCTGCCCCACGTGGCTGGCAGGAGGCCCCGCGCGTTGTGCAGTCTTGGAGAGCAGTGCTGCACACAGCATGCAGGCTCTAGTTCAGCACCTGTGCCAGCAGGGATCTGCAGCACCCTGGCCTGTGCCCAGACACATCTGTCCTTGGCCTGCTGTGATGAGCAGGGTTTCTTGAGGAAAGCAGCAGCTGCATGCTGCCCAGGACTCAGCTTTGGGCTCTTCTGTGGTTCTGCAGAGGCCTGCCCCTTGCGACCAGGGCATCTGTGGTCAGACTCGAGGCCAGCTGGGGAAGAAGGGTTTTATGGGGAGGCAGGGTCCTCTGCTCCACCTGTGTGTGCTGGGCTGCCCAGAGGTGCCTTGGGGACTGGCCCCAGGCTCCCACTGCTCACGTGTTCAGGGAAGGGATGTGGCACCAGGACACAGTCAGGTACATGATGGGCTCGGGTTCCAGCTGCTGGCTGCAGGCAGAAGTCCTGTATCTGCTTTCCTCAGCTGCCACGTGGCCTCTGAGTGTGCCCTCTGCTGAGCCCCAAGAAGAGGCCAGCGGGCAGCTGCCTAGAGCGCCCCATCTACATACTGCCACACCCTTGTGGCCAGGAAGGCCCTTGTCCTGCAGTCCCACTGTGGGTATCACACATCTGGTTCCAAGTGGCAGAAGCTAAAACCACCTCAATCCATACTTCTGTCAGTATTTACGTAACAACAGGAACACACAGACCCTGAGCACCCACGAAAAGGCTAAGGAGGATCTGTGGAGGATGACCTCTGGTCCTGATCACTGGTCCTCAGATAGCTAACAGCGGGCACACTTGGGGTGGGGCAAGCCTGCAGACAGGCACAGGCCAGGCCAGCCAGCCAGTGCCACATAGTTCTGCTGGCCAGCTGGCATAGAACCCAGCAGGCCTGTGCCCCCACGAGGCAACGGGACCCATAGGCAGATGAGCAAATTCTGCTGCCAGCTGCAGTGGGTGCAGCAGAGCTGGCCCTCACCCCATGCCAAGCTCCCAGCGGAGGGGCCGGCTCCTGCTGACAGCTGCTGTGCCTGAGCCCCTTCCCCTTCTGTTTCCCTTCCCCAGGTCTAGCCTGCTCTCTGCCACCAGCCAGGAAGGCCAGTTGATACAGGAGGGGGAGAAACCAGTGGGAGAAGTCAAGGCAGAGGTGCCACAAGCTGATGGAGGTGAGGGACAGTGTCCCTGACCTGAGGTCTGCAGCAGCCTGCTGCGCTCAGTCCTAGACCCAGGTGCTCGGCACTATGCTTTTATGGGTTATCTGGTTAGGCTGTCAAAAGATTCATATTTCAGATGTATTAGTTCCCCCTTGCTGCTGTGACAGGTGACCACACTCACAGACTTCCTGTCTACGGTCTTATTGACGAGATGCAGGAGCCAGCGGGTCTGTGCCCTCTGAGTCCCACTCCCAGGGTGCCCTGCCCCAGGAGCTCCTCTTGCACCTGCATGGCCCCCTTGACTCTCCCTGTCCCACCCTGCCTCCATGCTAGGCTCTGGGCACCCTTGGCAGATGGTCTCCACTAGGTTGCGACCTTACTTGCAGCTGCACACCTCCGGGCTGTGTGGCACATGAGCAGCTTCCAGGGACCGGGAACCCGCCTATGGACACAGGTCACAAGCCTTCTTGACACAACAGCAGGACAGACACCCTCTGTGGTCATGCACTGCCCTTGTATGTATACCTTGTGGGCCACCTGCTCTTAGGAAAATGGCCAGTTTTGCAGCCAGACTGTTTCTCTCTCCGCTTCCTCCTGCAGAAGCCTTCCATCTTGCCTGCCCCAGGAGCCCCTCCTGCACCTGCATGGCCACCCTGGCTCTCCCCGAGGACTCTCTTGGGCCTCCTCCACCATGTGTATGCTGTGAGGCGAGACATGTCCACAGCCCTCCTGGCATCATCCCTTCTGCTGAGACAAGTGTCTCTTCCAGAAACCCTCCACGCGGCCCAACACTGGCCTCCGCTTTCTAGCCACGGGCCAGAGACCGCCCGGCCTCACCCTCAGAGACCGCCCGGCTTCACCCTCAGCTTTTCCTCTGTGTCCCTTCCTGACTGATGTACGTCTCAGGGATTCAGACAGGCAGTGAGCTCCTCGAGTTCTCACACACCACAGTGCTTCCCAGCTACCTGCCCTCACTGCCCTCAGCACGCTTGGACAGCTCCATCAGGGTGCCCAGCACCTCCCTCCTAGTGCTCCTGAGCCTGCCCACAGCCTCTGCCCATCTTGCTGTGCCGCTCCACCTCTGTGCCTGTGCGGGAGCACTGAGGCTGCAGTTCCACCTGGCTGCTCAGGAATCTGCACCGGGCACTGCCCAGTACCTTGCTCCTGGGACCCAACTCTGCATTCAGATCTGCTGCCACACTGACCACACGGACTGGCTTAGGAGAACACAAACCTGTTACCTTGTATTTCTACAAGTCAGACCCGCACTGAGTGTCTCCGGGAAGCTCAGGGCAGTCCTCCCTCCCTCTGCAAGGCTGGATCTTCCTCAGGCTGCCGCCCCTTATCTCCCTGTCTGCGCCCCCTTCCGTGTGAAGGACCCTCACGAGGGCAGCTGGCCCACTAGGGTGACCTAGGCTCACTTTCTACCTCAAGGGCCGTGGGGCAGGATCCCTGATTCTTACACAGCCGTTGCTACAGTGGCAGCAACACAGTTCTAGGGGCCAGAATATGACGTGGGGTGAAGAGCAGGAGCTCCACGCATTAGGCTGAGCCTCTGTAGTCACCTACCTGCATCGGCAGGGAAACTGAGGCAAGGCCCCAAGGCCCCCGAGCTGGCCAGGACTCAGGGTCTCGAGGCAGAGCCAAGCAGTGGACACAGTGCCTGTCACCCTCAGAGGTGCAGGCTGGGCCCCTGGGGGCTCACTGTCCAGTACCCCACAGGCTGCAACAGCCCTCCTCCTGCTGACCACTCCTGCCTGGGTGGACTCCATCAGTGGGCTGCAGAGGTGCCAACATCCTGTGGGCCCAGGGGTTGCACTGCCCCTTCCTGTTGGGCCGTGTGCCTCCTGGACAGCTCCCTGATGAGCCCTGGGGCTGCTGGTGAATGTGCAGACAGACCTTGTGGATCCCTCCGGCAGTTCCCTCTAGGAAGCTGTAGCTTTGAGGCACCTCAGTCCCTGCCTTGTCCTGTGCTCCTGCTTCCACCACCCAGGGGGTGACTGGAAAGGAACCTTTGGCCAGGCCAGCCCCTCCCTTGCCCACAGCTCCCCTGCAGCCAGCACACAGCCTGGGGTCAGGTTCAACGCACTTTCTGAGGCTTCTGTGGGGACAGAGCCAGGGTAGGTGGCACCTGGGGTGGTGGCTCTAGCCCAAGGGCTAGGTTGGCAGGCCTAGGGCTAGTCAGGGCACCTGGAGCTGGGTGCTCTTCCCCCAGTCTCAGGCAACAGTGGGCAACTCTCGGGAGCTGCTGTGGAGGGCACGGACCATGAGGGCCTGAGGCGGCAGAGATGCAAGAGCAGCTGTCCTTGTAGCCACACCAAGCACAAGGCCTAGGATGCCCCTCCGCCATGCAGGCAAGGCGGCAATCCCTGCCCCGTATGGATGAGTGCCAGGCACAGTGACACCCTGCTCCCACCCCTTCATGTGAGTAGGCTGAGGACACACACAAGGCTCTGACCTGAGAGAATTCTGTTTATTACGACTGAACAGATGAACTAAAGCAATCTCTGCCTCTGCTGCCTGTTGCATCTCCTTGCAAAGCCTTGGCCCAGCCTCAGCCTGGCATCTGTGTGCTGCGGGCCTTGCTGGGCTTCGGGAGGCAGCAGGAAGGGGTGACAGGAGCAAGCAGCAGGTGCGGGCCCTGTGGGTCACCTTGGCCCTCCCTCAGAGTCTCTTTAGAGCCAGGATCCAGGCACACCAAGGGGAGGGTCTCTGAAAAAAGCCCTACCCAACTCAGAGCAGGAACATGGGGCTGCAGGCCAAGGCTCTGAGAGAGGCCCATCTCCTATGAAGTGTGCCTTTCAAAACAACAGAGCCCCTGGGGAGGGTCCCCTAGGAGGGTAGGGGCCACACAGAAGACCCAAAAAAGGAAAACCCCACATAAGAAAACACAAATGTCAGTCCAATAAATGTTTGTTGAATGAATGAATGGATCCCAGGCTCGTTGCTACAAATAGCACTCATCCATCCAACAGGAAAGCCAGGAAGCGCACCGCAGCCCGGTGCCGTGCAGCCTACGTTTGGTGGCCCAAGGCCCTCAGGCCTTGCTGCTGGCGTGCCCAGGCATGTGTGTGTACACGCAGACACACGGTTGTCTCTCTGCACATGGGGGCCCATCCAGCCCGGTGCTCATCTTTCCTTCACGTGGTTCTGTGCCCCTGAGGCCCCGCCGCTGGCCCCATCCCCACTGCCACCCCCAGTGGGGCTGCTGCACAGCACCTCGGTGAGGTCGTCCATGATGGCAGTCTCTTTGGGGTCGAGTAGGCTGAACTCCCGTGTGAAGAGGATGAAGTGAGCGTACAGTGTGTTCAAGTGTCCGTGCAGCTCCAGGGCCAGCGTCTCCTTGAAGTGGGCCCAGTAGATGTGGCCTAGCACGTGGAACAGGTGCCTGCAGATCTTCTTCACCAGAGCCTCGAAGGAGCTGGGGAACTCTCGGCCTGGGGGGAGGTGGCGCGTCACAGGCTGACGGGGGTGGGGGTGGGAGTGGGCGGCTCCCCGACCTGTAGCCGCGGAGAAGCGCACAGCCTCTGTGCCTGGCGGGAGTGCAGGGGCGTCCAGCCTGGCCACTGCCATCTCTTGTAGTCAGGCCCGGCAGGTGGTCCACAGTGCCAGCCTGCTGTCAGGTACTCCAGTGCTCCTCTACGGGCTGGGCCTGGGGTGACAAGTCCCAGGCACCTGGTGCTGGCCCTCTGGCAGCCCAGGGTATGCTTTGGGACCCCCCCCCAGCACTATATAGGCTTGGAGTATCAGCCCAGGGCACCCAGGAGGTTGGAATGTGACAGCCTCACTACAGAGCTGCTGGTGGAGGCTGTTCGGGGCCTGTCACGGCTCCAGGTGCCAGAGTGTGGGCCACAGGGTGCCCACTCCATGCCACAGCTCAGGTCCTGTGCAATGGGCAGGGGTCACCCAGATGCTCCCCCCCACACCCCACCCCTGCCACACCTTAGCCACCCTCCAGTCTGGCGGGACAAGCACTTGCCAGGCCCAGGATGACACCCCCCAGGTGGGCTGAGGTGCTAGCTGAGGGACATACCGTATTTTGTGGGGAACACGTCTTCATCAGTCACCAGTTTCTGCACAGAGCTCATGACGAAGTCGACGTACTGAGGGGCTGTGCACTTGACCTTCTTCCCCCGCTCATCATACCAGTAGTACTGTCTGTGGGGACAGAGCCAGTCAGTGCCTGCTCCTAGCTCACGCAACACCGAGCTACAGTGCACGGGGCGGCTGGCCATGCATGCAGGGAACCAACGTGCTGCCCTTCATTTTCTGCTGTGCTCTCTTTTGACTACACTGCTGAACTGGATGTGAACTCACCATCCTCCTGCCCAGCCCCTGAGGAGCTGGAATGTGCCCATTTCTTTCTATCATGGGGGTGCGTGTCTCTGCCTGGCACTGACTAGAGGGATTCAGCAGTATCCACTTCTGCCGCTGGAACCTGCATCTGCCCGTGGAGCCCAGCACCAGACCACCAACACCCTCAGAAACCCAGACACGCTGGGTGCAAAGCTCAGCATCTGAACCATTTGATCACACAGACGCATGCTGCACACAGAAGAACACAGGCCACCCCTCCTCCTCTGGCACACACGCCTCTGGGAGCTGGCCGTGTCATGACACCTCACGCGTCCACCCCCGAGATGCAGCCCATTCGCCCATGTGCTGCTGAACGACATCTACTTCTTTCCAGTTAAGGTGCCTGTTACACAGTCCTGTGTGGGTCTCTGTCTGGACATCAGTTCTTTCTATGGAAAGGGCAGATACCAGGAAGGCGTCATGGGTCACAGGAAGGACGTGCTTCAGGGCCGGGGCGATGGTTCAGTAGAATAAGCGCTTGCTGGGCAAGCGCAAGGGCCTGAGTTCAATCCCCAGTTCCACAAAACAAAAAAATGATGCGCTTCATCTCAGGACAACCTGCAAACCAATCCGGAGCAGCAGCAGCACTTACACCCAGGGCAGTGTGTCCTCATCAGTTCCCAGCGTTCACACAGGTGTGGAGGCAGGTGTACAGCAGTGCCTCAGAGGGGCTTCAATCTGAATCCCTCTCCCGATCCCACTGGCACTGAGCATCTTCCTTACGCCCTTCTGGCCACTGGGAGGAGCTGTCTCCAAGACCTTTGCCCACGGCACACTGGGCTGTCTTCCCATACGTGCAGAGTACACCTCAGTGTCTGGGTACCGAGACAGTGTGAGAGCTTTGGTGGCATGTGTCCTGCATCCCAGGGTGCACAAAGAGCTTGTTTCAAGACCTGCAGCCTTCATGTGTGTGAGTTTTTCTGAAGTATTCTGGGTTTCAGTACAGTGAGCGTTCTTTCCATACTGCGGACACCACTAGCGGATGAAAGGTGTAGTGTTCTGGATTCCAGCGTCGTGCCATCTGCAGGACGTTGGCCCACTCTTCATTTCCTTTCTCTTACGTGTCCTTCCCAGAGCAAACGTTCTACACCTTTATGAAGTCCACTTGAATCTTTTCCAGGTTCACAGAACTCTTCTAACCCTTACAGACTCACGCTGCACAGACTTAGATTAGTCGATGTTCTCTTCTCTCCTGAGCCTTTCTGGCTTGTGCTCCCAGAAGTTGTCTCTTGAAAGCACTGTCCTTTCTCCACTGAATTTCTCTGACACCCCGACAAAAATCAAAGGCTTTATCTCTGAGTTCCCTTCTGGCTCCTGTTCCATCTCCACTGTCCGCGTCTGTCCCGTGGCCAGTATCATACTGTTCTAATTACTGTGGTTTAACATTAAACCTTAAAACTGTGAGACCCTTTCTTTGTTTGAAAATTATGTTGTTCAAATGGGTAATATTTCTAATTGTATTAATACATTTGTGTGCTGTAGGACTCTCTTAATGGCTGTAGACTGACACTCTACAGTCCACAGCAGGTGTGCTGTTTTATGTTTTCTTCTGCCTTAAGACTTAGGTTTCCTATGTGTATCTTCACCCTGACATAAGTGTTTATTTCATGGAAACACTGCTTTTAAAACTATCACTTAATGGAGGGGGGTCTAATAAATAAAAAATAAAACTTACGAAAATCCTTGCAGCTCTCCCAGATAACTGCGCCCTTCCATCAGAACTAGCTGGACCAGCCATAACACTGATGGGATTTTGATGTGAACTGCACTAGAAAAACAGATCCAGTAGGATTTACGTGTTTTGTATGCTGTGTTTTCTCATCCATGGACATGTACCCCCCGCCCCCCATCGACATAGGTCACTAACGTCTTTCATCAGTGTTTTATAATTGCTAGAGTGTACTTCCTATGACTGCTATGTTTATACCTAAGTATCTTGGTTTAGAGCTACAAATGGTGCTGTCTTACTAATTTCCGTTTCCAGCTGCCCCCTGGCAGTATAAATGACGGTGTGTCTTCTGCCATGTTGACCTGGCTTTATATCTTTACTGCTTGAATTCTTGAGGCTTTCACAATTATGTTTTCTATAAGTAGTTATAACTGCATTTTCTCTTTTCTAATGTGGATGCCTTTTCTTTTTCTCCCCATAGTGTACTGCCAATCTTGAATTATCATGTTTTCCAAACTAGGTCCATTGGATTAAGCTATATAATATATATGCATAGAGGTTTTTAAAAAGAGTTTCCTTATCATTCATTTAATATGTGCTGAATTTATAGCTATGTTCTCATTCTTTATATCAATCATTTACATGGTGTTTTTATTTTTATGTCTTGCTAAAGGTTTACTGATTTTATTGATTCTTTTCAGACAAGCAAATTCGGTTTGACTTTCTGTTTTCAGAAATCAACTTTTTAAAAAGGATTTGTTTATTTGGTACAGGGTCTTGCTTTACCACTTAGACTCACATTGATACCCCGTCTCAGCCTCCCCAGCACTGGGATCACAGGTGTGCACCGTCACACCCAGTTTCAGTGGCTTGCCAGTCAGGTGCTAGGACCACTGAACTATCTCCTTGGCCTACAGAAACCACTTTCAAGATTTTTATTATTATTTCTTTGTTCTGCTCAATTTTGGTTGATTTTTACTTTACTTCTCTTAAGATTATTGATTTGAAATCTATTTATAAAATAAGTCTAAAACAAGTATCCAGTCCTATGAATTTTTCTCTAAGCTTCGCTGCATCCCGTAGTTCTGATTGTGATTTCATTTGTGTTTATTTTAGAACAGCTTCTAATTTCTCTTGAGATTTTCTCTCTGACTACACATTACTCAACAGTGTTACTGACTTTCAAGTACTTACCTTTCTGGTACTGCAGTCCAGTTTCACTCCATTATGGTCAGGTAACTTATTTAGTGTAACTTCAGTTCTTTAAAAATTGTAGAGGGCGCTTCTGGAAGCCAGCTGGGCACTATTTTAGTAAACACTCCCTGTGAACTTGAAGAGTGTGCATTCTTCTGTTGAGGCTGACTGTCCTCCAGAGTGACCTGAGCCCGTGGCCTGCCAGTGGGCTCTGTGTCTGTGGAGTTCTGGTCCTCACCCTGTGGAGGGCAGTGCCCCTGGTGGGCTGCACACACAGCTCAGGGCTCCACATCACCCCCGGAGCAGTCCTGCCTGCAGGCCAACTCTTCTACTTTCCACCATGAGGCTTCTCCTGTTCCTCGGCTGGTAGGACACAGGCCTGCAGGCTCCTTCCAACAGCTGTCCTCCTGGCCTTTTCTACCTTTTCCTCTGAGCCTCCACACTTGGCATCTGAAGTGATGCTAGCACCTGCATCTCGGTATGCAGATGCTGAAGGTGATCCCCACCCCAGCTGGTGCAGGGAAAGAGTCTGCCCTGCGCAAGGCCCAGGTCCCCTCATGCATGAGCCTCTAGGCCAGCTCTGGACTCTGCCCTGCGCAAGGCCCAGGTCCCCTCACCCATGAGGCTCTAGGCCATCTCTGGACTCTGCCCTGAGCAAGGCCCAGGTCCCCTCAAGCACAAGCCTCTAGGCCAGCTCTGGACTCTGCCGTGTGCTGGGCCCAGGTCCCCTCACGCACGAGCCTCTAGGCCAGCTCTGGACTCTGCCCTGCGCAAGGCCCAGGTCCCCTCAAGCACGAGCTTTTAGGCCAGCTCTGAACTCTGCCCTGCGCAAGGCCCAGGTCCCCTCATGCATGAGCCTCTAGGCCAGCTCTGGACTGTGCCCTGCGCAAGGCCCAGGTCCCCTCACGCATGAGCCTCTAGGCCAGCTCTGGACTCTGCCCTGAGCAAGGCCCAGGTCCCTTCAAGCACAAGC